CGTTGCTTTTTTTTTGGTTGACTCACCAACCGACCCAGCAGTGATCGATGACAGAATGGTACAAAGAAATCAAAGTCATTGGATTTGGTAGTTCTCCATTGACTTCTGTCTTTACCCCTTTGCATATGTTCCTAAATGGATGTGCACCTCCAGATGGGCGGGCCACCTGCTCCCTGGAAAAAAGGGTCTTTGATTTTCAGCAAGCATATTTGGACTTGCTGCTATAATCAATCACCCCCTTCCTCCATTTCAGGAAAAATGAGATAGATTGTGCAATTTGTAGTTCCAAGACAACGATGTACAAAAACATGCATGAAATAGCAGTCCATTTAAGCTAATTATTTTTTTTCCAAATACTACAGAAGTCCGTCCAAAATTCATACAAAGCTGAATTTCCTACCTGCTCTCGTAAGAATGTATGCTTTTCTTTCAAGGTTCTCCTTCTCCCAACATGCACCTTGAAGTTGTTTGTGCTTCTGCGAGTGCATGCTCCTTTTTCCTGTTTCTTTTCTCTTTCTTTGTTTTGTTGGGGCAGGGGTGCACTTTAATATTGAGCCCTTCCTATGTAACAACCAATGTAATGACGATGCTGTAACTGATTTTGCAGCAGCTGACTGATATTATTGAGGGCATTCTTCCAAAATTTGACAATAGAATTACGATTCTGTAACTGATTTTGCAATAGCCTACTGATCTTATAGATTATGTACATAAACCAAACATCAGATTCCAACGATCACATCCAATAAAGCACTTCTTCCATCCCATATGATAACAATGTTTCTCTTTTTACATTTATATAAATGCATTCTGTTGAAAAATTTTAAATAAGATTTTGGGTTGAGTTTCAGTTGTATCAGTCTCTCTGGTACTAGTGAGTTACATTTCTTAATTTGATTGTTGCACCATTGTTATGCTTCATGTCACCTAATCTATAATGGATTTATTCAGCATTGTTGGCTACTAATAATTTATTGTTGCTACCTACCCTTTTGAGCTGTTACAAACTCGGTCCATTTATTTTTATCTGCGGCATCTTTTCTTAGTCTGATAGAATTGAAATATCTATACAGGGATATTTCCAAATCCTGTACTCTTGCATCGAGAAATTGCTTGCGTTTTTAAATGTGAGGACCTTTGTTCTACCAGCTGCTGATGACGCAAAGTCAATATGGACAGATAAGTTTGGATTTCAGATAATATCAAAAGAGCAGGTAAGTTAATGTGGATTTAATTAGCAAACTGCTCGACTCAGTTCCCTTAGAAAAGGGAAAGCAGAGAACTTTTAACTGCTGTTTCATATTCTGACCTTTCCTCCATTTTCTATCTTCCCTGTATTGCAGCTTGACAATTACAGACAGACCTGTTCGCAAATGGTATCCTTCAAAGGGACGTCTATGTTAGGTAAAGGGGTTCCAA